GGGGGAGGGAGGAGGGACAGGGGAATGGAGCGGAGGGGGGAGGAAAAGGAACAACTCGATGATACCATCATGATGTGTTAAGGACAGAAATACACCAAACAGAATCAATCAACCAACCAACCATATATGGCACCATGATGGGAATTGAACTTGGTGATTGATACATGTTCTAGCGGCAGCTCCACTGGGCTGGTATGTTCGTGGTTCCAGGGATTGAAAAAAAAAAAAAAAAAAGTCTCGATCAGGAACTCCTAAAAAAATCAGCACGATAAACTTGCTGAGCCTTTTGAACCAAAAAAGGTTCATTTGTACCACTGACACAATTGATTGACTGCTTCATCATGTGCCACGTGGACTTTTTGGACTGCGGGAGGGAGTGCACTCACAGTGAACCGGGCAAACATGAGTAAAGACGTGTGTTTACAAGGATTGGATTGGATTGGATTGAATTGGATTGGATTGGATTGGATTGGATTGGGATGGATTGGATTCGGATGGATTGGATTGGGATGGATTGGATTCGGATGGATTGGATTGGAATGGGATGGATTGGGATTGGGATTGGAATGGGATGGATGGGATGTGGAATGGGATGGATGGGATGTGGATTGGGAGGGACGGGATGTGGATGTATGTGGGTGGGATGGATGTTGATGGATGTGGGTGGGATGAATGGATTGGGATTGAATGGATGCGGATGGGATTGAATGGATGTGGATGGGATTGGATGGATGTGGATGGATGGATTGGGAGCGATTGGGTGTGGATGGATGGATTGGGAGGAGTGGACGTGGATGGATGGATTGGGAGAGGATGGACGGGATGTGGATGGATAGGGATGTGGATTGATGGATTGGGAGGGGGTGGATGTGGATGGATGGATTGGGAGGGGTGGATGTGGATGTGGATGTGGATGTGGATGGATTGGGAGGGGTGGATGTGAATGGATGGATTGGGAGAGGATGGACGAGATGTGGATGGATATGGATGGGATGGATTCGGGTGCGATGGATGGATGTGGATGGATGTGGACCGATGTGAGTGGGATGGATGGCTGTGAATGGATGCGCATAAATGTGGATGGGATGGGATGGATGTGGATGGATGGATTGGGATCTGTGGGATTGATATGGATGGGATGGATTGGGAAGGACGGATGGATCTCATTGATTGATTGATTGATTAATTGATTTGATTGATTGATGTGATTGATTGAGGGATTTGATGGATCGACTGATTGATACGATAGCTCGAGAGGTAAGGGCGCTAATTTGTGAGGCTCAAGGGGTGGGGAAGGGAAAGGCACTGATTTTGGGGGCTTGGATGGGGTCTAGGTTCTTTTCCTCAGGCCTAACCCTTTCAAGACTTTGGGGCCCTTTTGGGGCCTCCAGTCACAAGTAGGACCGGTCCTACGCTTTTCAGAGGTACCCATTCTGGCAGCAATAGAAGAAAACACGTTTCCTATAAAATTGCTGTGGCGGATTTCTTCTTCCTGCAGACACTTGTGAGCGTGCACAGGATCCCAGCAGTCATCGTCTTCAACTCCAAAGTTCTCTCTCTCTCTCTCTCTCTCTCTCTCTCTCTCTCTCTCTCTCTCTCTCTCTCTCTCTCTCTCTCTCTCTCTCCTTTTTCTTCTTGCACTCGGCACTTGATTGATTGNCTCTCTCTCTCTCTCTCTCTCTCTCTCTCTCTCTCTCTCTCTCTCTCTCTCTCTCTCTCTCTCTCTCTCTCTCGGGAGCCCAATAGAGCACGCCTAAGCAAGGGACAAGGAATACTCTCTCATGCGTGCATAGGAAGGAAGAAAACGGAAAACTGAGATGCAAAGCAAGGAAACACACTTCTGTCTTTATTCCCATGCATGAGAAGCATAGCAAGAGACGTTAGAAAAGTTAGTAAAATTAAGAAAATAGAGTTCTTTCTTATTGGCAAAATTGCCTCTGTACCCCTTCAAAAAAATGGGAATACCCGCTGTAGCCAGTCCCAGCGCCCAACGTCCATCTATATACCCGTGAAATGGCCTGTGCAAATTATCTGCATGCCCAGGACTGAGCTGGGCCAAGGTTGGCACCGCCAGATTACACTTATACCCAACTACGGGAATGGTATTACGCACATACCCGGACCAATTATGTGCATACTCAGTTCTGCCTGCCCGGTTTCTGGGCATGAGCATAACCTTGTGGTCCCCCACCAAGGGCCTGTGAGACCAGGTGCACCTATAATTTGACCCATGGGAAAAGTAGGGTACTACCTTAAGTTGAACAGGGTCTGGGTATATATGCAAGTTGGGCGCTGGGACTGGGTATAGCGGGAATTCCCATCTTTAAATGGGGTACAGATGCAATTTCCCTTCTTTTATTTTATTCAGAGGGCTCCAGGACGATCTGCACATCTCGATACAGATCATGCACCTGACCGTACCTCTGTCAACGGCATTGACATCATTGCAAACTTTTTCCCGGGGCTTTGAGAGTTCTTTCTCCTTTGCACGACAATGCCGCCACTGTCCATTTCTTTTACATACAACAACAAATTCCGTCCTTTTTTTTCACTAATTACGGATGGTTCACATTAATATTTCATTACCTAGTACTACAACTACAAAGATACACAAAAAAGCAAAGTCGAAAAGGTCCAACCATCTCAATCAACAATGTACCAAATTAGGGGGAAGGGAGAGAGGAGAGGGAGGGGAGGAAGGAGGGAGGGGAGGTAGAACGGGGAGGGAGAGAGGGGAGGGAGAGAGGGGGGGAGAGGAGGATGGGGGGGGAGGGGCGGAAGAACGGGAAAGGACAGTGCGTTGCTGTACTGCTATGGTGATCGGGTATAGATGGGTCAGCAAGAATCGGCTATGGCAGGACCAGATCGACGGCTCGGCAGGCGGAATCCCGCACCGAGAGCGTTGCGCGCGAGAACATGAGGGAGCAATAGAAGGGAGGGAAGCGAGGGAGGGAGAGAGGGAGGGAGGGAGAGACGGTAGGCAGCCAAACATAGGGCGGAGGGACGAAGCGGCTATGGCGAACGACTGCGCAGGAGAAAGGACCTGGTAGGCAGAAAGAGCATCGGAGGGAAGGGGGGGGGGGGGTGGGGGGGAGGAGAGGGAAAGGGCGGGGGGGGGGGGGGGGGGGGGGGGGGGGGGGGAGGGGGCGGCAAGGGAAGAGGATGTTGAGGGGCAGCAGGAGAGGGCGGGGTAGTTAGTGAAGGGGGAGGAGAAAAGTAGAGTCCTCCGCCATAGTGACCGATGCGGATTGCAACAAAGAAGACCTGCGCAAGGGTTCTGTCCCTATGTCGACTGACCTCGATGGCGCTGCACTGCACTGGAGTCGAGCGGCTCCAGCTGGCAGTCGTAAGACCGTCAGATCGCGGAGAGTCAATATCGATGGGCGTCCGTGGCGGGAAAGCTCCTTTGATGCAACCGGGGAATTGATGGAGATGACGACGACAGAATTCCGACGTGGACAACGATGCAAAAGCTCGAGAAAGGATTTGGCGGGAAACAGAGGGGGGGGAGAAGGAGGAGGAGGAAAACCCCGCGAGTTTTGGCGAGCAAATCGATGACAGGCCGGGCGATGGAACGAAAGATGCCTCTTTCGACTGCGAGGAGACGGTCGTTAGAACCCTAGCCCCTCTGCTGACGCGGTCGCAAGTCGTGCCAGACACGTGTATGCACTGGGAACAGGGTGATACCGAAGCCGCCATCTCTCTCTCTCTCTCTCTCTCTCTCTCTCTCTCTCTCTCTCTCTCTCTGTGTGCCTTTCTTCCTCCCTCGCACTCTAACTTGGTTTCTTCCAAGAGTTGAGAAATTATGGTCACTGACGCGCACGGCTCGTGTCCGCGAGCGCGCGCGTACACACAGCCCTGCCGCGGGGCTATGGTGGCCTTGGTCTCGGCCTGCGCCTCGGGATTCACGAAGAATGGAAGGCAGGGCTCAGTGAATCGGCGTGGGGTCGTACCGGCCTGTGGCCGTATAGACAGAGCTAACAATGGGTCAAACAGGTCAGGTATTCAAATTGTTCTTTTTTTTTCTTTTTTTTTTTTAACTTGAACATTTATTGCAAATACAAAGAATCGAGGCCGGGGACCATGTCCGATATGCACCGTTTAGTTGACCTAGTTCAACGGTGCGACGCCCGAAACTGTTTTTTTTTATTCATTTAAAATTCGAAAATGCATTAAAAAATCCGCCAAATATGCAATTCATTCATTTTCTTTTTTTTTTTCACAACTGGAGTGCCATACGTGACGTCGACTACCGAAAATGGAAACTTGCTGCCATCCGCCCGGTCCGCATTCACATCCGACTCTCGGATTCTGCGAATGGACACGGATGCATCTGGCCACGTTTTGAGAAGGATGAACCCGTGCTTTTTGTCACTTGGACAGTGGTGTGCAGAGGCCCTGCGTCGGCAAAAGTTTGCGGACGGGCCCTTACTTACCTTTTTTCTTTTTTTTCCTTTTCCGCACCTGTCCACATACACGTTCACATACTTACCTTTTTTTTTTTCCTTTTCCGCACCTGTCCACATGCACGTTCACATTCACGCACTTTCTGCAATTCTCTTTGGCAGTAGGATCTTGCCCGTAGTCTTCTTCTCCCTTCGAGGACACTAACTGTTCACCTCTCGTTATGCTACGGCCCTCTGCACACATCTGCCGAGATGACATACGTTCACCTGCACATCAAGGCAGGCTAGGCCATCCCAACCTATGATTGGTGACGGATGCACGGCTTCCCAACCCGACTTCTGTTGCGTAGGGTGTAGGGCAATAGGGGTGTTCACTTGCTTTAGCTGTTGAAGTTCGAGATGGCGGAGGAAGACATGGCCGTTGATGATTTTGTCGTCCCTATTCTTGCTTGTGCGCTGCAACTCGGGGAGGACGCCGTTCGGGTATTCGACGAAATATGGAGCCGGTCAGCATGGATGGGGAAGCGTTTGATTGAAGACATTTTTGACACTACCAAGCAAGAAGATAGTGCGTCAAGGAAGAGACGCAGGTCTGTGAGTTGGCAGTGGCCAGCTGTAGTGGATGTTTTCAATATTATGCCTCGCAATTCACCTCGATGGTGGGTCATGCGTCGCACTGGTGGTGCATGGAAGGACCTCGAGGTTACGGACGATGCTGAGGACGACTACTATGTCAGCCTTTTGCGAATGAAGAGATCCACCTTTAACCGCCTTCTCCGGGTCCTCGCACCGCATCTGCAGAACACAACTTACGAGGTGGAGAAGGCCTTTGCCACCGGCACAGGTGCTGGCTTACGCGTTGCATCGATGGGCACATGGCGACGCTCATCTGCACAGCACATCCATGTATGGCATGGGCAAAACAAGCGGCCTGCAGGCTGTTCGCGATGTGGCTGAGGCCATCATACGCTGTTTTGGAGACGCAGTTGGGTTTGGGACATATGAGGAGCGGCACCRTCGGATGCAGAAGTTTGCTGCCCTCGGTTTCCCGAACTGTTGGGGGTGCATTGACTGCACACACGTGTTTGTCGACAAACCGAAAAAAAAGGACGGAGACGATTTCATGGGCGGTCACAAGAAACGGTTCTCTATCATCGCTCAGTTGGTGTTCGATACAGAGTTGCGGAATCTCGATCTGTGTTACGGGTTTCCTGGCACTGTAGCCGATGGTCGTGTGCTGAGGAACTCTTCTTTGTGGCGGAGGGCCGTGGCAGGGGAGCTGTTTGCGCCTGACCATCAAGATCCGACCCGGCACTTGCGTCACGGAATTCTGGGAGTGCCTGGGGGATACCTGCTCGGCGATAATGGATATCCTACTCTGGCTTGGCTTGTGGTTCCGTACGGGCACAGTGGTGTGAAACCACACACGAAGATTTTTAACAGTAGGCACAAGGTTGTACGTTCTTTTGTCGAGCGCGGCATCGGCCTCTTCAAAATGCGCTTCCAGTATTTCTACAGGCCTCACGTGTGTGATCTGAAGATCGAAGGAGAAGAGTTCCATGCCATGTGCATAGTGCACAACTTGCTTCAGGACTGGGGTGACCTTCCGGAGTACCTGCAGCCACCAGATACTAATAGTGGCACACAACCTCCATTCAGTAGAGCAGTTGCAGGTGATTTGCGTGCGGTGCGTCGGTTTCGGACTAGAGAGCCTGGGGTTCAAGTTAGGCATGCCCTGTGTGCTCACGTCAACGCTTGGGTTGCCAACCGTGGTCGTTAGAAGCTTTGCAAACATTTAGACATGGCGAAGGGAGGTGAAGGTAGTTATGCCACGGCTGTGTGTGGCGGGGGGAAGGAGGGACAGGTGGTATGTATTGTGTGGACTGCACAGAATCTGAGTGACGCTCTTCTTAGTGCGCATAAGGAGTTGTCTGTCCTGCATAGATACCTCGTCAAGCGAGGAGATGACACAACGGTTGTTGTGAAGGACGGCGATCAGCAATGGCGTCATGAACACAACCATAGCCATTATTGTGCAAGAAGATGGTGCAAGGCGGTTGATGCAAGACTTCGGCAATCTCGTCTGAACGTTCGAACTTGGTGCGACGATGTCCTCCAGAAGCTAACAGGATGGAAGGCAAAATACGAAAGTGCAAACAAAGAGATTCAAATATTGAAGGAGGACAATGAGGACCTGCAGGGGCAGGTCCTTGATGCGCGTGAGCAGCATCATTATTTGGAGACGCAGCTGCAAGATGCTATCATTGCCATCCAGGAGGCTCGTGATCAGCGGGATCTGGCATGACACTGTTATGATGAGCGTTTCGGGGAGATGGCGAATCCTGCAGGTGATGTGGAAGCCCTTTCCTCCGAAGTCGCTGTGGTGAGCCTGGAAGAAGAAGCTCATGGCGAAGCTCATGGCGAAGCTCATGGCGAAAACGGTTCCCGGGAGGACGGTGAGCCGACGAAATGCAAGTTGTGCTCGTCCTTGCATTCGAAAGTTGAAGAACTAAGACATAAGCTGGAGAATATGGAGCAGGTTAACAGCCTCCTGCAGGAGCCGCCTTCTTTCTGGAATGAGGTTTTTGACTGGTGATTGTATGGGACGGCCCATCCGGGGGGGGGAGGGGGCTTGTGCGTTCTAATCATCACCGTTGATCTTAGGCATAACGCCGGCTGTGTTTCTTTATCGTATATTAGGCAGCAGTTTCTAGGATACTGCTAGCGATCTAAGGTTTGATAG